GATTCAGAGACCAGATATAATTTTTTACTAGTGGGTGCAGGACACTATAGTTCATTTATGTAAGTGAGGCTAGCAAAATAAAGTAAACTGTGACAAATCATACCCAAAAATTCTTCATACAGTGGACTACCAGTAAAATTGATACAAATTTGGATTCAAAAATTATTCAGACAGACTCTGGGAAAAAAACTGAAGGTCAGGTTTGCATGAAGCTGGGTGACAGCATGCCCAGGAGACCACAGGCTGTCATTAAGGCTAAGTGTTGCCCGACTAAGTATTGATAGTTGTGTAAATACTGTCATACTAACAGCTGTCTGAATTATTTTGGTTGATTGTAATCTATTACATACCTTTCTATCAAAATTATCTAACATTATCAAGCTGAATTTGTTCTGACACAGTGTAACTCTGAGTTCTTGTCATATTTTATTACCATTTTCTAAACTATAGCGAATAAACTGTGATAATGTGAGAAATGTTGAAGGTGTCTGAATACATTTTGGTTTCACTGTATCTATTTGATAAATGAAGTTAACCAACTAACATTATACATACCCTTTTGGTTTCTGTACCCAATATTTAAAAAATGTACAAATGCAATAAAAAATATTGGTATCGGTACTCGGTATCGGTAAGTACCAAAAATAAAAGTATCGGTATCGGGCGAGTACTGGAAAAAGTGGTATCGGTGCATCCCTAGCAATTACTATACTTTTTTACAGAATTGCAAAATTGTTTACTCAATACAATATACCTTTTTCTGTAATGTTCTGGATGCTGTGTTCTCCATTTTTCTCTGTAGTGTCTAATGAATGCTCTGTAGTTTTTATTTTATTGACTCGTGTGTGTGATCTGAGAGCACTAGGTATGCGCATCTCATGACTCAGGCCGATACGATACGCATCTCGATGCATAGCCAATGATACGATACATTAAAGATACATATGAAGCAGCTATGCGATATGATTCACCCATTACAATGCAGTGCGATCCGATTTCGATTCAACACAATGCGATTTGATGCAATATGTAGCAATGGAGAAAATATGATCACTTTTAATGCCTCGAGGCCTGTTTCATAAAACAATTTAACCAAATAAGCCAGGCTTATTTCAGTTAGTCTGACTCATTGTCAAATGATTTGGTTCCATAAAGCAAATTTAACACAGGCCTAGATCAAGCTTCAGTCACTGGGGCAACTTATGCTGGGAAACTAACCTGGTCTAAATCAGGCTAACTGTCAGGTTAAGCTCCTCTAACACTGACCAACAGGAACACCATGATATTACCACTGTCTCACATACTATTAGTGTAACGGGGCTGACAAGACGTGAGACGTGCAGATCCATATGCAAGCTTTTTATTAGGAGAAGACAGAGACATGGTCATAAAACAGGCATGGGTCAGATAAATGGCAGACAGGTATATGGCGTGTAAAACACAAGAATAGACCTAGGGCTAGCGTAGGTCGACGATCGGCAGACAGAATCACAGGGGCGAGACTAGAGGGATAAGTCCAGGGAGACAGGCAAAGATCAGAACCGAGAAAACTGACAAGGCAAAACGGGAAGGATAACAGGAACTAGGAGAACTAACAGGCTAAGTAATACTCGGCCGTGAATGGTAGTTTGAGTGAGTGATATATAGTGAGTGAGTGATGTGAAACAGCTGTGTGCAATCCGTGCTGAGTGCAATCAGTGCAATGAATGATGGGATATGTAGTCCAGGATGATGTGCAACAGTGTGTAGTGCGAGAGTCAATGAAATTGGAAAGGGTGACCTCTGATGGCTAGCAGATGGAAGTTCATGGACCGGATTCGTGACAGAGCCCCTCCAAGGAGCGGCTTCCAGACGCTCAGAACACTTTACGATGCCGGAGGGCGGTGGAGTGGAGGCGGAACAGGGGGAGGGATGGAGGGCCAGGTCCACATGGAGAAGGAAAGACCGGGAACTGAGGCAGAACCAGCGGAGTAGAGAGCCAGGGCGAAGCCGACCGTACAGGTGGAGCAGAGAACCACCAGAGCCAGACAGCAGACCACGGCGGAGCAGAGGACCACCAGAGCCAGACAGGCCACCACGGCGGAGCAAAAGGAACAGGGAACCAACCTGGTGAACCACACCGATCAGGAGACCATGGCAGAGACTGTAATAACGAAAAAGTAGAGACAGATAACCCAGACAGAACATTGGGGTTGACAGATAAGGCTGGGTCTTCAGAGGCAGCCTCCTTGGCTAGGTCGGGACAGGACAAAAGTTCACAAACAACCTCCTTGGCAGACACAAAGAATTCACAAATGGCCTCCATAGCCAGGACAGGACAGGATGAGGATTCCCAGACGGCCTCCATAGCCGTGACAGGACGAGCAGGGAGTTCGCAAACGGCCTCTATAGCTATGACAGGACGAGCAGTGCGAGCAAACGGCCTCTATAGCGGTGACAGGATGAACAGGGATCTCGCAAACGGCCTCTATAGCTGTGACAGGACGAGCAGGGAGTTCGCAAACAGCCTCTATAGCTGTGACAGGATAGACAGTTCATAGGTGGCCTCCTTGGCCGGAACAGGACAGGCAGAGAGTTCATAGACGGCCTCCTTGGCCGGAACAGGGCAGGCAGAGAGTTCATAGATGGCCTCCTTGGCCGGAACAGGGCAGGCAGAAAGTGCGTTGCTGGGCGCCACCACCACGCAAGGATCTGAGGCAAGTGTCGCCATCTCGGGAGGTTCTGCAGCATGCACCGCCACCTCTGAAGAGACTGCAGTGGGTACCATGGCCTCTGGGAGCACAGCAGCGGACACCGCTACCTTGGGAGGTTCTGCAGCGTAAGCCGCCACCTCTGGAGATGTTGTAGCCGGTGCCGCTGCCTGTAGCAAATCGGCGGTGGAGTACGCGGCCCAGATGCACCATAAAGCGATCCCCATCGTGGGAAGCGCTACAGACAGGGGAAATAGTTCAGGGACTGGATTCGTGACAGAGAATGGAGGGCTTGAGAGCACTGGTTTAGGGATGCCAGCTGCACGTGCCGACACCAGCAGTGGGTTCTCCACGCTGGAAGCCAGTCTGGGATACTGAAGAACAGTCCTTGATCTGGGTGCAACAGACAGGAAGTGACAGGATTTTGAGCAAACAGACGTGATGTGACTCTGGATGTTCAGCTGTGATGGGACGTGACCCTGGATGAACAGCTGAGATTTGACGAGACTCTGGCAGATCAGCTGAGACTTGACTAGACTCGTGAAGATCAGCTGTGACTTGATCTGCCTCACAAAGAACAGCTATAACTTGACTGGCCTTATGAAGATCTGTAGTGACTTGACTCATGACGATCAACTGTGACTAGACTGAACTCAGGAAGATCGACTGTGACTTGACTGAACTCAGGAAGAACGACTGTGACTTGACTGAACTCATGACTATCAGCTGTGACTTGACTAGACTCATGATAATAAA